AAATAGAGACAATACCACAGCCAGCAACTAATTAATCAGCACTTCCCAGGAAACCTCCAATCACCAACCCTCCCCCCCCCTTCCCGGTTAAAATTTTAACAGTCTACAAATCCTGCAAGGTAACCCCTCTTCTGAACTGAGGGGGCGGAGAAAGCTCATTGGGATGCGGGGTAAAAGTTCCCCCCCCCCCCCCCCCACTAAACCCCCCCTCCACTAATCAGTACCTCAGTATTGATCTCCTAAGGCCCAGAGAACCTGATCACTAGATTTAAAGTATATAGCTAATTTACAATAAAGATTCTTAAGTAGCTAGTCAAATGACTTGCAGCCATTCTCTTGACTGAACCGCAGCATAGCAACTAAAAAAATAATCTGGAAGTTTGGCCTGATCAGCTTAAATATCCCTCATGACTGCTTCTTCTTAGGGGTTAGGAATGAAATACTAATGGAATGGCTAAAGTGCATAACAGCAGGATAACAGGCATATTGCATGTTCACAGTGTCTCCAGGACATAATGCATCTAATCGATACATGAAGGAAAAACTGTGTGTAAGTCAATACAGGAAGTCCAAGTAGGCCTTGGGAAATACAGTATATTTTAACTGAATTGGATGTAATCTGGCATAAGACTTTCTTTTCGAATATTCATGCCTAACATGGTTGTGAGAAAGGAAGGTGAATCTTGCTCCAAGCTCTTTTAATCAAGGGGATCCTCCTTATACAAATAATATATGAAGATAATTTCAACAATTTCCCCATTCTCTTTGCTCAAATTATTTTCTTATAGTTTGTCATTTTATTTTTACATAAACCAGTCTCATTTCTAAAAAGGTTTGTTTCCGGATAGCATATTGCCTTATGCCTCAAACAGAAACCATTTTTCCACCTATCTACTCGCTTTATTTATTTTAAGGCTGATACATATGACCTCAATCTTATTTTAATGCAGGAATTGCTTCAAAATTATTCTGCTCATTGTAACTTGATTTGCAAAGGTCAGAACAGCATCGTGGACAGGGAAGCTTATGTATTTCTGTCATTAAATGGTTGGGTGCAGCAGTGCCTTCCACAGAAAGAAATACACCTTTACCCATCCAAGGAAAAACCTTAATCTTTGTCTAACCACCACCATCCCCTGAGAGCATTTAGTGACCATACTTGGCAAAGTAGCACAGGTGTGGTCTCGACTGCAGCAGCAATTTTACTGTGATTGGAGGAGGGAGGAATGGATTATTTCTCTGTCCTGCATGCTGAGAAGCTTCATTCTTACCAGATCCTGTTTGAAGGAAAGCATTCTCCATGATGAGTGATGTAGGCCAGTCCTCTGCATGTTTTGGGCTGGTGTTTCCATTATTCTCAACCAGTGAAATGCCATGATGGCTAAAGACAGTGGGAATAGTAAACATAGTACGAAGGCCATCAGTTTGGTGAAAGCTATTGTCATAGAAGTACACCTTTCACCTCACCTTACTTCTTTCAAGAAACTGCACAACAGACAGCACACTCTCTGGGAAGAGTTAAAGTAAATTTTAAAAACGAGTGTCTCAAAATGGGACAGCATGCTGTGAGGGTGATCTTGCTGCTGCTCTGGCGGGACTTAAATTCTTTAAATACATAAGATGGAATATCAGAATTTCGACAAGCATAGGATGTCAAGCTCAGCCTTATTGATACCTTTCTAAAATCAAAACATGCTGAATAGTTGCTGGTGCCTAGGGAACATATAAAATTAGAGCATTTGTAGAAGTGGAAGGACTCAATGATCATCTAGTCCAATGCTTTGCAATGAGCAGGAAAACCAGTTAAACCATCCAGCCTCTTCTTAAAGACCTCTGGAGGTGGAGAATCTGCAACTCCATAAGTAGATTGTCCCACTTTTGTACAAATCTTACTGTCAGGATGTTTTTCCTTTAAAGTAGCACAGCATTTTACTGTCAATGGGAATAAAAATATCTTCCCTGAAGAAAGTGCTTCTGCTGTATGAAATTTCCATATTTTTTAGCATTGAGGGGAAAATGCTCACTTGCTGGTAAATATGGGACTCCTCCTTTAACTCCCAGTCTCAAGTAGCAGTGGGGCTGCTCTTCTTTTCCATACAGATGTTGCACTTGTGCAGTAATTGTGCACATGTGCAGTATCTCTACACAATTCAAGATTTGGGGCAGTTGTGCATTAATTGAAAACAACTTGCTCTTGTGACTTGAGTGTCAATTTCCATTGACTTTGGGTTACTATAATTTATCCACTGAGATTTTTTTCTCTTTGAAATGTGGCAAGCATACATTCTTTTCATAAATTAATTTGACCTTGCAAAGCATAATGTCAGCATCTTTTTATTCCCCTTTGTGCTGACATTTAATAGGGATTTTTTGTTGTTATTTTCCATGGCAAAAGATACTACTCCGTTATTTGGGTAGTAGAAAAGGAAAGGGGAAGGGGAAGCCAAAAGCAATACATTTTTTTAAAAAAACGATAACCTCAATTAAAAGTCAGCTGATCAGCTTTTAGAAAACAGCTGGCTCCTTCTCTCCCTTTCTCTGCTGTCCTTCCTTCAAAGTGCTGTAATTGAGCAGTAAGGCAAAGCAACAAATGAAGCACTTGTTTCATGAAGCCAGCTTTTAGCAATGTGTTATTGGTTATTTGAAAGCAAAATGAGACGTGAAACATGAACCAGCTCTTCTCTCCACTGCAAGTCCATTAAATTATAGAGACAATATTGTGCTTAGCTCACATATTTATTGCAAGATATATCTCATTATTATATGCTGGCAAACTGAATACTTATAATGAACCAATTACCAAGGAGGCAGCTATTGAGTTTGGAATATTACTCCATTTTATAGGTGGATAAGCAGATCTTTCTCAAAGCTGTACAGGTTTTTTTTTTTTTGGCTTTCTTTATTGGGGGGGAGGCGGGGTGGGAAAAAAGATTTTTTTCAAAAATGTTCAGGGTTTTTTTTTTTTTTTGGCTTCCTTCATAGGGAGGTAGCAGGGCTGGAAAAAAAGATTCTTCTGAGTTCTCTGTTGTACATTAGATTTTTTAAATTATTATTTTGAACTCAAATGCTTTGTACAGGTAGTCCTTGACTTACGACCACAATTGGGACTGGAATTTCTGTTGCTAAGCAATGCAGTCATAAAGCAAGACGTCACGTAAAAAAAGTATAATAATTAGTAAAACTGGGCATAGTTTTATTTATTCTTAGAATATTATCCTAAGAGCTGGGAAGGGGCAAGTAGAGCACACTGTCTAAGATTGCACATACACATACGTACACTGCAAACTTCAGTGTACACGGCTCCAATGTCACCTTTGCTAAGCTTCTCTAATTCAGCTATGGCTTATTTTCCACATCACTTCTTTAGTGGCCTTTGGTGTTTCTTGCTCAGCAAATTATGTTGGTTTGAGCAAAGCAGTGAATCCTTGTCCTCAGTGAGATCATGTTCAGTGGTTTGAAAGCTAGATTCAAATTGAGCAGGACCAACATGAATGTGCTCCCCCTATCCATTTCTCAACAGAGATTATACAAGAAAGCAAAACAGAAAGATACAATGGGACAACGCAAGTAAGAACAGCAGTGTGTCTGTGGGGGTGGGGGAATGAGATCAGGTCAGTAAGTGTGGATCAGAAAGCAGCATTTGGTATTGCAATGTAAGCCTCACCCTTTTCTATCTGCAGCACAGGAAGTTGCACACATTCCCAATACGGGCAGACCTTGTGTTGCAATGCTGCTTTCTTCATCTGGTAATGATGATGTGGGAGACCAGTTGTCTGAAGGATTGCTTTACAGTTTCAGACAGTGTGAAATCACTGTAGCAGGTCTAAAAGCAAAGCCTTCCTCAAGTCAAGCTCAACTCTTGGTGATTTCATGGACTCATCCATATATGTTTCCTGGTAGTAGTATAAAACCTGTTTGCCACTGTCTTCTTCCAGGATGTTTTTCTAACTGCCCAGGCTAGCCCAGAGTCCTGATAATTTCTTAATGTTTTTCCATCCAAATGCTAACAAGTTCTGATCCTGCTTAATTTTTTGAGATCAGCCAAGGTTGGCTGGGTACTGCCATCTAGCTGGGCATACTAGGTACTGTATACATTGAGAAAAATTGAGAAGCATGTATCTCCTGAATTTTCATTACTTGGTTTCTAAACTCACAAGTATCAGATTGTAGATGAGTAAGACCCTCTCACACAACGCCCTTAAACTGCTGCTCCAAATCAGAGGAATCCATCCTGGGCTAGATGCACCAATGCCTTGATTCAGTGAAGGCAGCTGCATATACATAGAGTATATTCACAGTCATATTTTCAGATTTAATTGGGCTGTATTCATTTTTTCTGATATTCTTTTTTCACAGTAGCAATATTATCTTAACTGAAACATTTGGTCCAGATTCCACAAAACTAAGAGTTTGACTTCCAGTGTGGGAAAGATTGATTCTTAATGTTCCCATGGAGGGGAAGAAAAATCCCAGGCCTCCTTTCTATGAAAGGTCTCCAAGTTCACCAGAAAGTAGAACCATTTGCTTATTTTTCTCAGTTGGTTTATCACTCCCCCAACCTCTTTTAAAAAAAACAAAAAACAAAAGGGCTAATTTTAATCTCAGATTATAATTTTGTCCGGCAGCTTCACTTTCATGTCAACATATATTTCTGTCTCTCTAAAGGGACAGTAGAACAGTACATGTAGGAATAACGTGGGAAAGTATTATCCCTTTGTTTCCTTTTCTGCCATCATTCTTTTTCATGCAGGATTGACATGAGACCTAGTTTGGTTATTATTCTCAGGAGAAGTGGCCCATTTGCAGTCACAATGTGCTCTGTATCAGTGTCCGTGGAAACCACTGGAAGGAAATGAAAGGTAAGGAAAGAGCAAATTGCTTTTTATCAAAGTAAAGGATATGAAAGAGCATACTATGAGCATATTGGTAAAGAAAGCAGGCTAAGTTGCTATGAAGAGTTCTGAAAGAGGACATCTAGCAGCCCCAACTTTTCCTTCTCCACGGCATTGTGGTAGGAGGAAGTGTACTTGTTGAATATCCTCAGTACTCTTTTAAAGGAACCCAGGCCCTAAAGTGGAGAGAATATGATAGTACTATGTGGTTTTACTAGGCAATGCTTGTTCTAGGCAATAGTTGTTACCAGACTGCAATAAGCTGAGCTAGACATTAAACATTGTTCTGGTGTTTAATGAAACAACAAACAAAAGTAAATAAACATTACTTAGCAGTGTGAGACCTACCTACCTTCAATAGTATGATTCAATCAACCCTTCTTGCTATTTCCAAATATTTGGGATTGAGCAGGGAAAATACTATAACTTGGTGAGATAATACATTCCAGAAGATCTCAAGCTCAATCACTATTGAAAAGAATAAGATAGCAGGTACTAGGAAGAGCTCTGTTTGAGACCTTGCTGAATTGTCATCAATAAGAATAGTGAGTACTGGGCTGTAAAACACCAATGATCAGATCAGAAATAAATCAGCATTTTGTGTTATTTGCAATGAGAAGCTATCAGCCCTTAGAGATAGGTCGGGTCAGGAAACAAAAAGTAGAAGGATGACTACTAGCAAGGACTACTAGAATCGACTTTATTGTTGTTGGGTATAATAACAGAATTCTGAAAGCCTACCAGAGCTTTCCTCTGCCCCCTCTTGTGCCATATAGAAACAATACTTTTGAGTCTTTCCATGCTCTCACCTTTCCCAGGACTGAGATGTCATTTATTGTTTGTTTTATCTGCTTTTGATTCTTGTATTCCTTTGCCAACCTTATTTCTACATTCCTCTACAGAAACATCAGTTTTCCATCTTCAGATTAATTGTGGTTGGTTGTTCAATACAGAACTAGGTTTTACAGATGGGAGTTAGAAGTTGTGAAACAATTACTAATACAAAGCTTATTCAGAGCACTAAGTTTATGACCTGAATTAGAATGTGAACTGTAGTTTACCAGATTCATATCTGATACTCTCTTTACTAACCATAGAAATGCTATTTTAAAACAATACAGTGATGTTTCTTTGTAGTAATCATGAGATCAAAAGAACACATATATTATTCAGAGAGCAATTTCCAGAAAAAAATCTAGATTTATATGCCTGAATTTCTTCCCTCCTCCTCCCAAACAATCATTTTATCAGAAGTTATCTTTTGTTAAAATTCAATAAGTAACTTTTAAGACATTGAATTAAAATATAGGTAGACATTTAGAGAACAGCCTAATAAGTTCAATGGAAAGTTTCTGGTTTGCAGACAGATTATTCCTGCTCCTTCATATAATCAGATAATAGTCCTGTGTCACATTGAAGATAACCCAGTCAATCACAGTCCAAATATTCATGCTGCCCTAGTTCATTAACTGAATCTGAACTTATATTTTAATTGTTTCTTTGGGAATACAAGTTTTAAGAATGTGTGTACAGAATTCTGTGATTTCTTTCAGGAATACCATGGTTCATTATGTTGAAAACTATCCCAGACTTATTTTGGCCACTAATTTCTTCAGGTCAAGTAGAAAAACTTTAGTGGTATATTGAATTGTGCAAACAGAAGAGAAGCAGTGCTTGTATAGTTCATTTCAAAAGAGAAGGACCACTAGCTCCTGAATATATTGTCCAAGCTTCTGTTGGAGCTGAACTACACATTATACTACATTTATAGGATCACACTACAAGGTGAGGGAAACTTATATCCCTTTCTAAGCGTGGCTCCATAAACACTGTCTTAGCCTTATGTTCCTATAAATTCTACAATGCTTAGCAAACAAATAAATGAAACAAAAAATCCATTGCACCAATGGAAACTTTTAAAATTCTTTCCAACCCAATGGAATGCTGAAAAGTAATTATGTAAATGGATTGTTGGAATTTTCTGTCCATCTTTGCCCATCTGTCAGCAGGAGATCCTTCCAGAAACCCAACAGAATTGAGGGAGGGGGGAGAGAAGCTGGTAAAAGAAAGACTGTTTGAAAATGGGCTGGATCAGGCTAGGAGTGACAGAGTAAAACATCCAGAAACATCACCACCATCACCACCAGTGCAGCCCTATGGAAGAGGCAAACTGTTTCTAAACCATTCTTCTTCCCTGCTGATCGCGTGACCCAGACGAGAATATATGCTGCCCACTTTGTACTTGCAAGTGTGCACATATATCCAAACACAGATGCAGCATGTTACCTTGTTACTCAGTAGAAAATGCAGACATCCACGGCCACTACCAGTAAACCAGTTGAGGAAAATGTTCTACATGCTTTCTCCTATTTATTAAGTCAATAGTCATGAATAGCAATGGTGGAGGGAGGAGAGTTGTGTCTGGAAAGGGAAAGTATACCAGAGAGCTAGTAACGCTCCCTCATATCTATAATTAATTAAAATTAAACAGTAGCTATGGCTACACAACGCACATTAAAGATAACATCGTATTTGGCCTTCAGTGACTCAGTAAGAACTCTCAACTCAAGGTGCATTTATTAACTATTTACATGAAGAGACTTAGCCAGTCTAAGAAGCAAATCAGATGGTTTGGCCATTGTAGTGCTCCAGAGATGAGCTATTTTGGCCCTAACCCTAATTTCAAAAGCCTTTTAAAATAATCCAGATTTCTGGTAACATAAATATCTTTTTCCCATGATAGCTGACTGCTCAGGATAGGAAGGAGAGTATCAGAAAGAGTCAGTTTCAGCCCTATCCAGCATTTGCTTCATCCAGTCCGGTTTGTATGAAATTTCCACCAGAGGAAATGGAACCTTCAACAGGTTGCCCATTCCTTTAAAGGAGTGATTCCCTTCAATGCTTATTATTCCACAAAAGCATTCTTTGTGGCAGTAGCAGTATTAGCCAGCCCACTGTTCCATTAAGTTCAATATGGTCTACAGTAATCAAGAATGGTTTCTGCATTTCAAACAAAAGTCTTTCTTGGACATGCCGGGATTGAAGCTGCCATTGAACCTTGCCTACCTTCATGTGCTTAGTTCCAAGCTGCAGATGTGTAAGCCAAGTGAAGATGGAGTTTTGAAACATTTGATGTTATGATAGTCTTGCTTCTGAAGGCCTTCCTTTTGTTGTTGTTGTTTGGTTTGTTTCTTGTATATTTTAATTCTGCCATGGGAATGAAAAAGCCTAAATTATTGCAAATTCAAGGGGAGTTTGCTTCCACAGCAGTAGAGATCAACATATTTTTTTAAAAAAACTTTGCTTGGTGAGTAGGTTATTTAAGGTTATTGTGTTTCCACTTCAAACAATGGTGGAATATCAACAGAGGCCAGAGGAAAATTCCCTCCCTGCCATATTTTAGGCTTCAACTAATCAGGCTTCAAGAGGGCATGAACCACTGGCTTATACAGGTAGTCCCTGGGTTAAGAATGCCCGAGTTTCAGACGATCCATAATTAAGAATGGAGCCTATTGTAGCAAAAATTGAGTTAAATACACAATGATTCGAGTTAAATACACAATGGCCCAAGTTAATTATGCAATCCTACTGATATAGTATTATTTTTTATTTATATATATCAAATTTGTCACTGCCATCTCATTAGAATAATATTATACTGTCAGGTTCAGCCCAAGAACAACAGCGAGACAGTCCAGAACAGTTAAGCTCCTTTATTAGCTTACACCTAATAAACAGAATCTCGCCAGACTAAATCTACACCACAACAACAGTTACTATAACCATGAGGCCCTAGGGAGGAGCCAGTCTCATTCTCTTGGCTTTCCCACACTCCGGCTGGGGACTGAGGAGGTGCTTCCCCTGGAATGTCTCTCCTCCCTCCTGGCAACCTTGAAGTTCCATTCCAGAACTTTCCCTGCTCATGCCTTCCATCACAATACTACACACACACACACACACTATATATATATATAAAATAAAAGAATATTATACAATAATACTGTTCCGACTTACATACAAATTTGATTTAAGGACAGACCTTGGGAACAGAACTCGTTCTTAAACTGGGGACTACCTATATTCTCTTTGTCATTCCTTCTATCCATCCCTGCTTACTGAAAGAGATACAGATAGTGTGCCTCACCTAAGGTAACTGCAGTTGAGACCTGAGGTTGCCAAGCAACTACCCTAAACAATACCTCCTTTCTCAGGGCCAGTTCTTTCTGTTAATAGGGTTTTTCCACAATGGTAATGAGAGAAGGAAAGGTGGGGAAGCAGTGATAAAACATTTGAGCAAGAGGAAGTGAGCATGGATGACTAGGAGTGGGGAGATCACCAAATACTCCCTCATGTTTTTATACATACAATAGCAAATATGCAGTACAATTTTCATGCACTGTGATGTGCAAAAACATTGTTGAACCTCCACTTGAAAGGATACAATTTCAGTTTTTGAAATCCATCTTCCAAGTCTCCTGCTGCAGCATGAAGCCAGCTTACCTAAAATAGAAACTTCTGCTTGGACTCACATCTTCTCTTACTGGCTTAAGCTTCTTTTCTTCCTGTCTGACAGCTTCAAGTCTTCTTGGAGCTAGACACTTCATGAGAAATTAAAATCTCTTTTTATGGGCTGCCATCACCCCAATAAGCTATGAACGTGAATTAGCCAATCTTAAGCAGCACGGTGCTGACTTGAAGTTACAAACAGATCTGTCAGTCTCCCCAGAAGCGTTACTTTGAACTACTGTGCTCATCTACTCCACCTTGCTAGATATCTCAGTTGTGTAACAGTCTCCAAATTCAGAGGGCTTTATCTTTAGCCAGGTTTGACATATTCCCAACAACAGTTACTGAGGGAAAATATCAAAACATCCCATTTGAGCAGAGGCTGTACCCATGTCTGGAGGAACAGTTGAAATGTTAGGTCACATTGTGCTGCTCATTCTGGGTTGATGTTCACCATGAATTGTTCCCACTTTTAGTCAAGTACTCTGCTTGCTCTGACTCCCTTTACCTCCAGTTGTTATTATTAAAACAAACTGATTTTACTTTGCTGAATGTTGCTTAATACTGCTCTATTGTTTGTACAATACGCCACACTCTTTCTTCAAATAATTCTTAGATTTTATTTATTTAGTTAAAAGACTGATACGGCCACCCATCTTAAGAGACACAACTCTGGACAGATCAGCAATGCTATAGAACCAAAATATCATAAAAACAATAGAAACGAAAAGCAGTAAAAGTAAAAAACAAAAACCTGGTGCCACAAACAATCTCCTTGGATGCAGCCAGCACCACCCTATCCCAGCACTATTAACATAGTATCTCCTATTCATTACAGTATGAATATTGTGGGTCTAATGAAAACCCTTATACAATAGCTTCTCATATGCTATGTAGAGTTCACTGTTTATAAAATTATAGTAGCAGATTGTCCATATGAAGAAGTACAGTACCAAAACTTTAATATATCTAATACATTATTGAAGATTATTTATTTATTTATTCAAAAGATTTGCCACCCATCTAAAAACAAAACTCTGGAGGACTCACAACCAATTAAATCGAGAACTATAAAAACCATCAAACTTAAAGCCACAAAACCAAAACAAGACCCAGCGCCTCGGGGCATTCCTTACACACTGTATGCCAGCACCTGGTTAAAAAGCCAGGTCTTGATGCCTTCTGAAAGGCTAAATCACCCATCTCCCATCTGGTTCTGTTGATCATCTATTTTAGCTATAGCTGTCTATTTAGTTGATTATCTATATCCCTGCATTCTGCTTTTATGTACTTTTTTGATTATTGATTATTATTTTTATTATCAATTGCCAGAGCCACCTTTAATAATGCAGAAAACCAATTATTGCAATAGATCTATTGCATAGATTTTAAATTATTTAGCTCTTAAGTCATACTACTCCTGTATATATTATACTATTCTATACTACACCATTATACTCCCTTTAGGCACAATATTAAACATAGTTTATATATAGATCTTAGTGATATAATGAGCTTATTTTGCAGGTTAGCTATTTTTATTATTCTAAGTCACAACTATATAGTTTTATCTTAACTTTTACAAATTTTCACTGTATGTTTAAACATTTTAGTTTAATTGGTGTCATGATTTTATAGTTTGTATTAGTGATTTAAAACATTTAATTTGTATAGTATATAGGTTACACTATTATTTCAACGGGCAGCTGTAATCCGATGTTTTAAAGCTTTGTTTTGCTGGTGATGACTGAAATAAAGAGACTTGACTAACATTGTTGAACCAACCTTACTCCTGAAACAGGAATCAATAGGCCATAGAGTTTCTCCCTAAAACTTGTGCCTGACAAGCCAGAATATCACCTGGATGGAGAATCCAGTAACATTTTGCATAATGAAAAGTTTCAAGATCTCTTTGAGGAATATGTTCAGTTTTTATTTTTTAAGAAGAGAAGAATAGGAGTGATATAGGAAAAGAGATAGAGAATATCAATGTTCACAATTATCTGTAAGTCTTTATCAACAAGAAAAACAGTCTTTTGAAAATATTTTCCCACATATAAGTTAATATGAAGTTTTCTTTATAGATAAAAGTAGTAAGAGAAAATCATAATTTTTACACCTGCAATCTTTTGTACTCATTTACATGGGAGTTAATTGCTTAGTAGAGACTAAATTAATTTACCTGCCACTTGTAAATGAGTACAAAAGATTGCAGGTGTAAAAATTATGATTTTCTCGTAAACAAACAAGCCACAAGTGAGGGTCATTTGAACCAGCATGTCTCAGCATGTCAGGGTGACAAGTCTTCTGATTAGATTTGTACAAACCTGCACTTTCTACTACTTTGAACAGAAATTACTTAGTGCGGCAGCAGCAAACGTAGCTGTTATGACTTTCTCTGTTTTATTAATTGTTTGGTAGAGGCTTGTCACCCTGACATGCTGAGACATGCTGGTTCAAATGACCCTTACTTGTGGCTTATTGTTACCTAGCAAAGGCTGGTCAAGGAAGTTCTGGTAAACCAACGTCTGTAAATATTGATATTTATCTACAGTTGATGTAGGTAAAGAGAAAGATTATATATTCTGTTTCTAATTATTATTATTTTAAAAAGAGAACAAATAGGAAAAAGGCAAAAAAAGAAAAAAGGAAAAAAAAGTAAGACAAAGATATATCAGTAAGTTGATAGAGAAGTTGCAAGAGTTATACAGTTAGTGCTCAATATTAGGAAAAAGGCAAAAAAAGAAAAAAGGAAAAAAAAGTAAGACAAAGATATATCAGTAAGTTGATAGAGAAGTTGCAAGAGTTATACAGTTAGTGCTCAATATATTTTGATGAAGGATTAACCATAAAAAACAGAATACATTAAGTTATTTTTAACAAGAAGGAACATGATTCTAAAGGCCTTTTGAGCTGAATGCCAATATCTCCATTATGTTATTATTTAAAGATAAATCATCTAACAGTAAAAAAAAAGGAAGAAAAAAAGAGAAGAAATACTATTAAAATATTTTATAGTATTTAGTTCCTAACTTCCCTTGGGTTCTGCTATGACTGATATACATATTTGTAAACATTTAACACTTCCATGTATTTCTGATTTCAGTTCTTTAATCAATTCTTTTTCCCCTTAAAAACCATACTTTAAATGTTTAAATTTGCCATGTTGCATAATATATAATATATATAGAAACCATTCTTGCTTGGATTTAGTCAAACACTGTTGTGAATATATGCAGTTGATTTTGCCATTGCTGCATATTCTCCAAATTTAAATTATGGTTTCAATTCAGATTTGGTTTCTGAAATTCTCTGAATTGTGCTGTGTATTTCTTTCCAGAACTTTTGAATTTTTTTACATGTCCTCTACATATGGTATAATGCTCCTTCTGTATCATGGCATTTCCAACATTTATTATATTGATTTGTCTGTCTTGAGGATTATTGACAGAGTTGTATACCATCTATAAGGAATATCTTTCTGTTTACAACTCTTTGCTTCTTACAACCTTTTTTGGTTTGGCCATTTTCTTGGAAGCAATTTTATTTCTAGGAACAAGTGGTAAAATTGCCAATTATTGCTGCTGCTTATCAAGCATTTCTTAATAGTTTCATAGCCACAATATCTGGACATAACCATGTAGTTACCAGAAATTATGTTTGACTCAATGGAGTGTCTATGATTTTGTTTTGTTACAATGGTAATACTTTAATCCAGTCGCTTGTATCTTATGCATACGATTAATCATACATACAGTATGTAAGACTCCTTCAAGACTCCTTCAAGTTGAATTCGACTCCTAGAACTTAAGGGATACATCCATGTTGTTTTCTTGGCAGCAAAATGGGAGTAGTTTGCCATTGCCTTCTAAGGTGTTTTTTTCCCCCCAACTTTCCAATCTAATAAACAGCTGTGATACTTCTAGGATATCTCCCATTTAATATAGGGAGCCAGGGAGATGACTCTGGAGAAGGAATCCAGAGGCCATTAGGGAAATATCAGGTACAGAAGGAAATGTGTTAAGTCCAGAGAGGTGGAAGAGTGTTGCAAAGAGACTCAGACTACCCCACCTGACTCCCTGGGGTATAAGAGGAGGGAAGGGAAGACCCAGGCAGACTTGCAAAATTCTGTTCATCTATAGTTCTGATGTCTTCTGGCATCTGTATCCTGCTCTGGTCTACCTTGAAGGATTGATATCTGAGTAATAACCAAGGCAAAACCTGCTTAGTTTCTTAGATCAGCCACACATCAGCTAGGTGCTTCCATCTGCTGACGCTGAACATGCTTTCTGTGCTAAATATATAATTATGCACCAGAGCAACTTAGAACTTCTTCTAGAAAATAAATACATTTTGCAGCCTGTATAAATACAGTGCTAATTTTTATTATTTGCAATTACTCTGTGTGTCTCTCTGTCTGTGTCTACATATATTATTGTTTCTGGGAGTTTTTTTCATAAGAAAAAAAGAGGGTAGCATTTATGCATATTGTAATAACTGTAATTAAACAGAACTCATTCTGACATACTGGGCAAGCCTATGGTCAAGGAACTTGTCTACCTGCTCAACCTGTTGCCTGAGTGCTGATGAATATCTTCCCATCCCCATTCTACTTCTTTAAGATTTTTTTATCTTTAAAGTGGAGTTTAACTATACACCCTTTCAGACAAAAGAAACTACCACTAAATAAAAGCCTCTTTCAGTTCTTGGTAAGAGGAGTGCATATAGTCATGTTTTCACTAGCTATTGCTGATATATGTCCAATAATGTCTTTGCAACTATAAAAAATGTTGTTTTTTAAAATTATAGCCGACAGTCTTAATAAACAGATTTTGTATCCAGTACATGCCATGCCTATACATTTCTTTCTTATTACGACATTACAGTAATATGAATTTTTCAGTTTGAGCTATCTCTTTATATAAATCAGGAAAGAGCATAAATGATAGCTGCATATAAATAGTACATTCAAAAAATACTGAATGCTCTCTGCAGTACCTGCTCCCGGTCAACAAGAAAAAATAGGAAGCAATTGCTTCTTTCATATGTAGAGTTTCAGTAAGATAGAAGGAAGAGCAGGATATCTTTATTTAAACAGTGATGGAAAATATTTCCCTCCCACAGTATGGATTAAAATGCCTCCTTCCTGGAAGAATTTGAGATACAGAGATCCTGAGAAGTTGATTATTCAGACCCTAAAATATGAATAGAATGTAGGGAGAGGAAGTTGTGGTTGGTGAGTCAGCATGAGTAATCTGTTTCAGTGAGCAGGAAGGCTCAGTTGTTTTTTTTTTCCTCTCCTCTTAATCATTTCAAGAATTATATTTTTTAAATGAAGGGAAATAAATGATATTTTGTTGCTTGCAGTACTTTTAATAAAATGCTACCATTTCAGATCACAATCTTTATCTCTATGGACACATTTTTCAAGAACATGGAAAGAAGAGGGTAGCTTGTCACTGGTAAGCATGATTCTTTTCTTTTTTTGCAAACTGTTTAGCATAGAAAGGATTCTTATAATTTAGTTGCTTTCTCTAGTAAGCAGAAGTGTAGTTCAGAATTCAGTGCAATGCATTCTGATGTATTAATGCAGTATGGAGTTCTATTGCATATCAGCAATTTGACAATCTAATTTATTAATATTCCACTTTTTAAGCTGATCTATTTCAGCTTTAGGAACTTACTTACTTAGGGTTGCAAATAAGTTTGGTGAGTTGAACACAAAACAGATGGTGCAGAGTTGCTTCTTTCTTGTTATGAAAACCTGAATTCAGAATCTAATGTTTGTGTATACAGATTTAATGTAAGTTGGGAGCTTTAGTTTTAGATGTCTCAGATTTTACAAGAGTATTTCTTTTAATCAGGTCCCTTCAAAGATACAAGCAATACAATGTTGGGATGACAATCCTGGCTAAACCATTTCCCTTTTATTATATATAAGGGAGCGATCTGAATAGTTGCTGCTGTGCTCCTGACAATTTATATAAAACTTAACATTATGCTATACTATTCATTTAATTCAATAGGAATATTACATGAGAATGTTATACTGAATACATTTAACCAATTAAAAAAACTCTTAATAATAAAACTATGCTAATTACAAAAGCTGAGTAACAGTTTTACAGCACCAGCTGATTCTATAATTTTAAAAATGCTGACTTGAGTCTAATCCCATATAGGAGCTTTACAGGGCATCCAATCAGATCAGATAGGTACTTCCTGGTTTGTGCAAAAAAATTGTGTACAGTAGTTCACATACCCAATTACAGTATCTTTGTCTTGAAATTCTGAGAGGTGGCTGGTTAAAAAAAAATGTTTACTGTGCTTTTTGGGTAGGTGTCTGAAGGGTCGGTGTCCTGACTTCTAATAAGATGCTGTAACTGGGAATATTTTATGCCAATAGTTTGGTTGGAGAACCAGGTGTAGCACCAAGACAAGTGATCTTTTCCACTGTAAAGTCTGAAGCTTATCTGAAATATGGTTAAGAGGACATCTTTCTACATCCAGTTTTGTAATTAATTGTCCCAATGTTTGTGTTTCATCTGTTCCACAAAGTGAGTTTGGGATACAGGATAGAAACCTGTTTCCAGCATTTCATTACTGTACAGAGTTTAATAAGGGCTTCAGTCTGAAGGGTTCTTACTTGGGTTCTCTCTTCACTAAGTGGATAGTGTTACAATTTGCAACCCCTCGAACAAGACCTGATGTTATCCCTCTTCGGCATCTTCTGGATTTATGAACCTGTGACTTCCCAAATGCAGCTGATTAATTCTATGGTTACAAAACTACAAATTTTGCCGCTCATATTTTTGTTCTGAGCAACAGTTTCTGGGATGTTTCATACAAGATAATTTCCTCCATGAATATCACTTAACCAGAGGAAGATCTCCATGCAATCCTGAAAAAGTTATGCATCTTGTTTTTATATGTGAAAGTGTTAACTCTGGAGGAAAAGTATTTTATATGAAGTGCTTTTCTGAGAAGTGATGGGCCTGAATTACACACCTTGAATCCAGATCCTCGCTCATTCACATTCATGAACAATTAAGGGCTAGAGTGCCTTTGAATACATAGTCACTTTAGGATTTGTAATCTGCACTAGTCACAGATGGGCAAGTACTTCCACATAACATCTGCTCCTTAATTTTCTCCCAACCATCTTTCTCAGTAGTTTGGTTCAGGAGGAGAACAGTGGTTTCTAGCTGTTGCTCTTTGCAGACCGAAACTCTTGTTGATCCACTGCATATCACCCAGAGATCCCTATCTACCTTCTGCCTCCCACCTCCACTTCCCTGGGAAATAGGGCAATGTGCTTTTTATGTGTTTGTAACATCCTTCCTTTTAGTCTGTAAGTATAATCAGCTACAAAGGCCAAATGCTGATGGAGATGCATTGACTATCTAGGATTGTTAGATCACAAGGAAGAGTGTGATCACATTTCCTCTCTTCCCCAGTGGCACTTCTTATAGTTAATTTCAAAGATCAAACCATTCTGTCCTGGCTATCACAGATCATAGAAGCCGGGCAAAGAACCCAGCTCTTCTGCATTTCAGCACATGGTGTGCTTTGCAGTGGTACAGTTGATAAGCAGAGGAGTAGCTCGCTTGCAAACCAACAATCCAGAAGTGGTTGCAGTTTGACTACAAAAATAGACAGAAAGAGTGTAGAAACTACAGTGTCATTGTAGATGAAAGCAGAATTTGAAAGGTGCCGGTTAGCAAATGATTACACGTCATTCTAATTTTCTAGGTGTGGGGGTAGTGATGTTTTTTTCTGTTTGAATTTTTTTTATAAGTGTGTGCTTTTTAATTCATGTGGTCGTTGATTATAGTAAATGAAACTAGATTCACGAGATTTTTGTATGTCAGGTGGGAGGGGGGTCATGTGGCTATCTGTAAATTCCTGATGACCTAATAAAATGCTATGCTGTTGCCTACACATCCTCATTCTAGTATGTTGGCTGTCAGGTTAAAATGAGTAAGTAGAGCATGTTCTTTAAAATCACCTTACTGCTGATAGGAATGAAAGAGAATACGTGTTTCTACTCCCCCACCACCAATTTGGAAATTTTTTTGAAACAGTGCAGTATAAACGTTACAGTTGTTCTGCATGTAATGTCAGAAGGTAGTTTATGCCACATTCCTACAAAGAAAAACCACAACACTTTAAAATAGAGTGGATCGATTCATATCAAAGCATCAGTTACTTTAAATTATGATTTGTATTAATAAGAAATAATTAGGCAGATTTAAATAACTCATGCCAATTTGATTCACAAAAACTAATGAATTTATAATTAATTATGTTGAATATACTTACACTCCAAATCAGAGGAATACTATAGACTAGGGTTATCTGAAAAACTCCTTTATTAGTGCTTGATAGGGAAATGTTTTTAAAAAACCAAATGTGGCCAGGAAGAGATTTAAAAAATACTGTATGAGTATCTCCCCACTCTCAGTTCCTTATTTTTCCTGTTACAACCTGGGGTTTGGCCATGTCCATGTTAGTGGACCGTTTCTTTGAACCTTGCCAGTTTATCACAATCAAATAGAGGTGAGGAAAAAGTCCCTAATTAATTGGATTTGTAGATTTTCCCCTTTTTGACCACATCCAAGTATAAAACTTTAAGGATTTGCTTTATCTGGGTAATTGACTGAATAAAACACATACACCTAAGTATTTAAGATAAGATTATTTCTTTCTTCTTTCCTGTCCTTTAACATAATGGGAGCCCAGTGCTCTGTGAGTAGTCATGTATATCCTTAGGAAGTTATTTTATATAACTCTCTGATTCGCTAACGGGATAGGACTTTTTAGCGGTAAAATACCATCTGCAGTTATCAATGACACTGTGTGTAGAACTTTCCCTAGTTCACTAGACCTTAAAGTGCAAATAACTTTTAGAACTGAGTGAAATGGAAATATTCCAGTGAGAATGGACATTACATTTTGAAATTGAAAAATGATCAGTCAGAAAGGCACTCTGGGGTGATGCCACAAGATGCAAATACATGATATGACTAATATTCTCATAACACACTGTCACTGTCAAAAGTTTTTCTTCTGGGTACCTAACACCAAATATTGGGCCTAAGAAAACAAGTTCTAACTGGATAACTTGTTTTTTTCCTAGAGCATTAAATACATAATTGCTATATTTTATTCTATTAAATAGAATTCTATTCTATCCCCATAATATTGCCCATCCAAGAAGCCTCAGTTTTCTTTTGCGGCTTTTCTAAAGCAATGAAGATGAAACAGCGTTTTGCAATGTAGTCTTGCTTTGAGTTACCAGGGTCAGATCAGACAAAAGGGGAGAAGCCAAGTTATTATGTGAACTTATGCAGAGGTGTGCTTTGCATATGTGCCAGGGATCAGTGATTTTGCTGTGGTCTTTTTCGACAAGGGAATAAGACTCTAGTTTATGTTTTCCTTCTCAAAACTAAGATGTGTAGAGGTAGAGATGCTGTGCTGAAGATTGATTAACTGCATCTACTGTTAAGATCCCTTGATAGTAGATTGATGCCACTGTACCATAGATGATGAATCTACATACCTATATATATAAGCAACATAGGACACAGATGTTTGGGACACTCTTGGACATGAACAGGAAGATCTGATGTTTCCTCAGCCCATATATGCTGGAATGCAACTCCTAAAATTCCAATCTAACATTTGGTTAAACTGGCTGGTTATTCTGAAAGTAATTGTCCAATGCATCTTGAAGGCACGAGCTGGGAAAGTATGTCATAGAGTCATACATACAATCCTGGTATACTACTGTTTGTTCATCTTCTTAGGGCAAAACTACACAGCAAGCCAAAGGCAGCCTACCAGCCTGATACTATAATTCACACAGTCATCCTACTTTTGCAGTTCCAAAGAGGCAACAACTGAGATATAGAAAATATATCTAGGATTATACTCATAGTTTCTAGACTATCATCGCTAAATAATACTCTTATTTAAGTTCATATCCATTTTATGAATGTGGACGGTGATAAACTTTTCATTTCTAACACTCTGTATTTGTAGCATCTGTTTCAGAAAGACTGTGGCTTTCCAGGATCAGACCTTTTAATTTGTTCAGATCTTCCAGCATTCTCATTTATCTGGTTTCAGTCTCAAAACTTCTTATTCTTCTGATGGTTTTTATTATTTTTTGTTTCACTCAGCTGTATTATTTTATAATGTCATCAGATATATACCATAAGAAGCATGCTCTGTAGTCCGCTATCAAGGAGGTCTGCTTGATACATCTTTTTCAATTATAGCACCTCTTCTGTGGAATATTCTTTCAACAGAAGTTCAGCTGGGTTCTTTTTCTTTTGGGGTGAAGCCTTTATGAGAGCTTCAAGAAGGCAGAGCATCTGTATCTTAGCTTTGAAACTAGTGAAAGAGAAAGTTATAATACAGATACACAAAACAAAATTCTTTGCTTGGTAGCAGGGAA